TGTGTTATTTTATCCACCTCTTTCCAAAACCCCCGAAGAACCAGCCCCCCTTTGGTACTGCCTGAGGGCCACTGAAATGCTACCATCTTTCTGAATTATCCAAAATGGAAAACTTATTTTCATTATTAGCTTTTAATTCTCCTTCAGACACATAATCGTTAGTCACAGACCTTTAATTCTTTTCCCCACAATCTATCTTGGACGCCGTATTTACGGAACTGCTTCTGGGATCCGATCATCCGCATATTACGGTTACCACCACTCAACAGCTGAACCTTCGCTTTCATTCTGTCCGCATGACAATTGATTCTACACGAGAATGCGCGTATGACCTTCCTAATGTACAACGTGTATCAGAGGGGCCCCTCAAGTTTAAAAATTCCTGATTTTTAAAAAAATTTTCTATAAGGCAAATACATGCTTCTCAATTTAGCTCCCTAGAAATACTTTTAAAACTCAGCCTACTTGTGTTGGCAAGCTTTATCACTGGTCCACTAAAACTCTATAATCCAGTTTTTTTACCCCTAAATTCTTGTATTCCCATTCCAGTAGAAATGTTTATCCCAAAATCATGCTTTCTTCAATTTCTTCATAAATCTATGTCCCTCGTTAGGTCATGTTTAGATCTTTATGGGATTTCTCCTGGTTAGAATTTTCTAGCCTCTGATTAATTATTCAAAACTAGTTCAAGAAAAATCAAACTGCATTTCTCATGACTTCCACATACTGAATGGTAAGGTAAACAGAAATAGGAGAGAGGCACCTCCTTCAAAGTCTGGTGTGGTAAAGTAAGAAGACAGAAAGAAGAAGAAAGAGACCTCAGGAAAATTCAGGAAGGACATCTCCTCCAGCCCGAAGAGCTTGGGGAAAGTTTGAATGAGATGAGTAAGAAGGACTATGAAGGACAAGTAGGTGTGTGTCATATGGATGGGGCAGATGTGATGGGAACAGCTCGGTATTTCCCACTGGAGTTACACATAATCTGCAATAATTACATTATTTATGGTAGTTTGTATTAGGTTGAGCTTTGTTGAAATAATGTACAATAAACCCAACTGTAGTTTGAAAACGTTTAGTTCCAATACAGAAGACAATGCAGCAGATACTAGCAATCCCATAAACTTCCAAATCCCTTTTCCTAGTTAAATGGTGTTTGGATGTGAGATAAATGTCGTACTTCAACAGGTGGCTTTCAAACTCAAAATGTTTTCTGTATGGAAAGTATTTAAATTCTGTTCTGTGAGGGTGGTTGGATTTTGTTATATCAAATATTGAGCAATAGCAAATTATTTTTGTTCTAAAAACTCTTAATTTAGGAATTCTCTTGCCATCAATATAATACTTTTGTATTCGAAATATTTTACAGGAACCCCTGGGTGGCTCAATCACTTAAGCATCTGCCTTCAGCTCAGGTCATGATCCTGGGATCCCAGGACTGAGCCCCACATCAGGCTCCCTGCTTGCCAGGGAACCTGCCTTTCCCTCTCCCTCTGCCTGCTGCTCCCCTGTTTGTGAGCTCTCTCTTTCTCTTTCTAATAAATAAGTAAAATCTTTAAGAAAATGGAAACATTTTACACAAAGTTTAATGTTGTGAATAAATTTTAAGCTGTAAATTTGTACTTACCAAGATTAATTCTCCTTTTTTCACACATTATTATAATATAAAATATATATATTTAGAAATATGTGTGTCCCCATCAAATACAGAAGGTTTTTTAACACATGCTATCATGTTATTTAATTAAGAGGATAAATTATTCTCAGAGTCTCCAAATTCCCTTCTACTGTCGTAGAGGGAGGGATGTACGCAAGATTTTTGAAAACCAGATACAGTTGATGGCCGTGACAATTGTTACCAGCACTGTTTCTAACGTTAGATTGTGCGTTCTCAGAACTCTGGTGGATGGCTCTCTGTGCTGCTGGGAGACAGGAAACAGCAGTATTTCTATTTGGACTCACTTTTTGTGAGCAATAATCTGTGCTTTAAGATCAGACCTGTGTTGAATCGGAAAGTCTTACAGGATTGTGCTAGAGATAAGATGATAATGAACATCGGATTTCCTAAAATGGAAGAACGTGGGACTGGTAAGCAGCACTGACAAGGTTGATGGGATGTAAGCAGCATTTCATGAGACCAGAGTGGGAAGTCCTCAAGTTAATTTCCAGCAAAACTCCTTCAAAAGCCCAGTGACTTTCTCTGGAATAAGGAAAGTTAATGAATGGCGCTGGCTTCAGCGAGTGTAATTCCAACACTGTTCTTGAACTTTTAACATTCTACTTTCCTTTCTGAAGAGTATTTCTTGAAATCACTTTTCTCCCCGCAGTGTATTTTCTTCTAAAAGTTAGATTTCTGCTACTATATGAAGGAATAGGTCATTGTTTTTTAATGTGTAGGTTGTACCAACTTTAGAGGGGTTGCAGAGATTAAAATTCAGATGTCTTCTTATCAGTTTGGTAGGGTCAAGGCATCACTGTAGGTAACGCTCTTTCTCTAAATAGAATGCGTAAGTCTTCTGTGGCGTGTTGGGTAAATGGTCAAGGATAGGGTTCATTGAAATCAAGAATAATGTCTTAAAGATTTTCTTGTTTCTCTTTATCAGGTGGTCTTTATTCATTTGGTCTTCATGGCCTCCTAGTACCCTTCCTTTATGTGCCCAGTTTATTGGGTTCAATACTGTGAACGAGAATAATGCTAGCACCGCTCCCATGATAATAGCCAAGATATATCTCGCAAGTATTGTGGTCCAAGAATAGTATGAAATATGCTACATGCTTTATCTCATTTAGTCTCCATATGCACGTGCACAGACAGCCTAGGAAAGATGGGACATTTGGAAATCTGACCTCGACTTTTGTCAACATCTGTCCTCATAGAACCTATCACGGTGCCCTGTGAGTAGTGATTCCTTAAGAAGTGTTTGTGAGAAAGATAGGAACACGTTTAAGTAGGGCTGGGAGGGCTGCTCTAGACACTATGCCCGTCCTTCAGACTTTCCTGCTATGGGTGTTTTGTTTCTCCCTTCTTTGACGCCGTCCTTATTCATGGCCGTTCTGCCTCTTAACAATGCTTTTATGTATTTTTTGTGGCAGAAGTTCTGCTGTAGTGACAGCACCAATGAGTCACATTTTCCGTGTGGCACAGACATGGCCACTGTTGTTTTGCAGACCAATGAAAGAATTGCAGAGTCTCCAGAATGTTCTGCTCCTATTGAAATGAGGAGATAAACATAAAAATATGTTAGAAAAGTTTCAGGGTTATAAAGGAATCATAGCTTTTTTTTTTTAAGACTTTATTTATTTGAGACAGAGAGAGAGCACGCACAAGTGGGGGTTGGTGGGGGGAGAAAGGGGCAGAGGGAGAGGGAGAAGCAGACTCCCCGCTGAGGGGGGAATCTGACACAGGACTTGATCCCAGGACTCTGGGATCATGACCTGAGCCAAAGGCAGACACTTAACGACTGAGTCACCCAGGCGCCCCCAAAATTACAGCTTTTAACATTGTGTTTCCACTTTGAAATACCAAGGGTATTCTTCTTAGCAGGTTTTCTGAGGTGATTACTGCCTGCACAGGTATCCTTTGAAGGCCTGTGTGCCTGTACAGCTTGGGGGTAGCTTACAACTGTTACATCTATGGGGTGTTGTGTCGTGAGTATTAACATGCAGAATGTTTTCAATTAACAAGTGTAGCAGGAATTCTCTGTGTCAAACTCTTAAAATGTGACCACAGAGAAGCCTGTTTTTAAAGGATTACTTCAACTCTGAATAAAATACTTGCGGTAAGAAAAACTCTACAGTAATATTTTCCTAATTAAAAATAGGCACGCTTAAATTGCTATTTCATATTTTTCACAGATATTTACTGCTCTGCTTCCTTTACCCATAGGCAGTGTTCTTATTTTGCTTTCACCTGGTGGTATCTGTCTTTAGTTGAGTGAATAGTTCTCTGTGTCCTTGAATGCTGTCTGGAATATCATACACGTGATGTGTGATGCAAACTGATGCTTCCCAGAAGCTTGACTGATTCTGCAGTTTCAGGGAAATCTCCCATTTTATTTTTAAAGATGCTCTCTTTCTTCTCTTCTTGGTCCAAAAGATATTACCCAGAGCCTGACTTTGGCTCCAAAGCGAAGCAGGCGTGGCCTCTATCTGGCCCTGTCAGTTTCCACCACAGGCCCCAAAACAAGCTGTTTACACTTTCCGGGACTTAGTTTCCCGTATGTAATTTTTAAGGTTTTTGTGAGGTCGCTTGTATTTATATCTGCTCAGTAAATGTTAGAAATTGTTTTTATTTTCAGGAATGGTAATTGTATTAGCAGTAACAGTGAACTACTATTTAATGTTGACTTTTTGTTTGTTTCTGTTTTTGTTTTTTGTTTGGTTGGTTGTTTTTGTTTGTTTGTTTGTTTTTTGAGAGAGAGAGTCTGTGTGAGTTGGGATGACGTGGGGGAGGGACAGAGAGAGAGGGAGAGGGAGAATCTCAAGCAGACTCCACGCCCAGTGCAGAGCCTCGATCTCGTGACCCTGAGACCATGATCTGAGTCAAAATCGAGAGTCAGATGCTTCATCGATTGAGCCACCCAGGCACTCCTTCATGTTAGGCTTTTCTGAAACAAAAAAAAATCACTTTCACGTAGTCTCATAGTTCGGCTCATGGGTGCGATGACGGGAAAGCCACGTGATGGTTACTGAACCCGCTTGTGTCCCCACGTGACACCTTCAGGCAAGTTAGATTGAGCTCTCAGGGTGATATGCTTGCCGTGTTCCGACGGCACATAGAGTTTTTCTAAACCGTGAATTTCAAGAACATACTATATTTTAAGTAAAATTTATAATAGAACATCTGGGTGCGGACGTCATCAGGCAGTTTTAGAACAACGCGCAGGATCTGTAGGAGGCAGACTTGGTTTCGCACTTCCGGAAGGGCACCTGTGTTCCCTGTGCGCTCTTACCTCTTACTGTTCCTCGCCAGGTAACTACAAGGCTGTGTTTTTGCTTTTCAGCCACTCAGGACTGCTTGCAACTCATTGCGGACAACGACACACCTGCCATACGGAAAGGTAAGGAGAGCGCCCCCCGTAACTTTCCTCAAACGCTAGTCACTTGTAAGACTGCCTTCGGCCTTCATCTCCAATCTCCTGTCTGCCTGCAAACATCTCAGAACCAGATGTAGAATAAGAGCCTTCAATCTCTTCAAAACGGTTGGGGAGTGCTCGCTTCGGCAGCACATACACAAAACAGTTGGGGAATACATATTTAGGCTACTGTAATAATCTAACAACCAGAATTACCTTAAAGACACAAATACTTAGAAATCTAAAATAATTAGCCTATGATAAAACCAACACTAAGCCACGGTTAGGTTTTTGTTTTAAATTTTTAGAAATCACTTTGGCTTCTCTGGTGACTCGGGATCATTTTCACAAATATTAACTGGTTTTTGTTTTATTTAGATTTTAGAACCCATAATAGGATGAGGATGAAACTGAAAAAGTCATAAACCTTTTATATCAATTATGAGTGAATATGTAATTGTGCAAATGAATATGACACTGTTATGATAATCCAATGTGAAATGATTGCTTTATATTTTGCATGTATCAGTTGAAGACATACAACGTTCTACTCACTGTGTGGGCTGTGGGGCTTCGCAAAGAGTCAGATGTGTGCTGTTCTTCACCTTCATGGAATTTACCCTTTGAGGAGGGGAAAGGGGGGGGAAAGCTAATGAACAAGTGAAATGTAAAATGATAAAATTAAGTGCAATGGGGAAAACTCCAGCAGGCGGGCGCCTGGGGAATGTCTGGGCTGTGAACCAGAACAGGGAATTCACAAGTGTCAGAGGGCTAAGCTGGGAGCCGGGAATGGGGAAACGAGAAGGAGCCCAGAGAATGGATTTGGATGGGCCTTTGTAAGGAGTGCCAGGAGGGCTGTCTTACGTCTGTATTTTTCTAAGTGCCTGTAATTACCCAAATGTAGCACAAGTACCAAACTGTTTGAAATCCTGTTATCATTTATCGCTCTGCATTTTCCAAAGTCCGATGTTTGCAACTTTAATAGGCCGCAGACTGTTTGCTAAGAATTAAAATAAAGTCCGAAGAAGACTTTAAGGACCAAAGATAAAATTTTAAAAATATAACTTAGGGAAAGTTTGGCCAAAACAAAAATACTGCCTGTCACACAGAAAGTTGAAGCTGCTCTTTGATCCTGAGTGTGAGTCTCACAGAGGACTGTGTGTGACGTCCCTGGTTGGTGGCTGCTCTCCACTGACCTCAGGTGCTTATCCGCACACTTCGCCCCTTAGACACGTAGGTTAGCCCGGTGAGACCAGCAGGCCTTGAGCAGCATGGGACTGTTAGTGGGCACGGGCGTCGTCAGCACCACTGCTTGCCGGCACTCGGTAAGGTCTGCTATGTTGTGTTTCCATTTTCACTTGTCTCACGATATTTTTTAACTTAACCTTCTGATTCCATCTGACCCATTCGTTGCTTGGGAGTGTGTTGTTTAATTTCCATGTAGTTTTGAGTTTTCCTATTTTTCTCCTGTTACTGATTTCTACTTTCATGTCATTGTGGTTAGAAAAGATACTTGATATGATTTCAGTCTTCTTAAACCTGTTCAAATTTGTTCGGTGCCCTAACATTTTATTTATCCTGGAGAATTTTCTTTGTGCACTTAGGAAGAATGCATATTCTGCTACTATAGGATAGAATATTTGTATATCTGTTAAGTCCTTCTGGTCTGTAGTGTTGTTCAAGCGCACTGTTTATTACTTATTTTCTTTTGGATGACCTATCCTTTATTGAAAGTAAGGTATTGAATTCTCCTACTCTTACTGTGTTGCTGTCTATTTCTCATTTCAAATCTGTTAATATACATTAGGGGCTTCAGTGTCTATATATATATTTATATATATATAGAGAGAGATCTATATCTATAGATCTAGATCTGTATCTATATATAAAACAAGTATATATATGCTTGTTATACCCTCTTGATGAATCGATCCACTTGTCATCATATAATGACCTTCTTTGTCCCTTGTGATATTTTGTTACTTGAAGTCTATTTTGTCTAATATAAGAATAGCCACTTCTTGTCTTTTTTGTTTACCATTTGTATGAAATGTCATTTTCCAGTCCTTCACTCTGCATGTCCTTAAAACTGAAGTGAGTTTTTTGTAGGCAGAATAAGGTTGGATTTTGTTTTCCCTTCAATTCATTCAGCCACTCTATGCCTTTTGATTGGGAAATTTAATCCATTTACATGTAAAGTAGCCATTGATAGTGAGGATTTATTATCTTCCTTTTGTTAATTATTTTATGGCTGTTTTTTAGTTCCTTTCTTCCTTTCTTCCTCTCTTGATGTCTTCCTTTGTGGCTTATTATTTTGTGTATTGATATGTCTTCATTCCTTTATCTTTGTATTTTGGGTGTCTACTACAGGTTTTTAAATTTATGTTTACCATATCACTTACATAAAGCCATTTAGTTACAGTAGTTTATTTTAAGCTGATAAGAATTTAACTTTGATTTAGATCTTTTTATATTGTGTGTCTATTAACAAAGTACTATAGTTATAATTCTTTTAGTACTTTGTCTTTTAATTTTTATACTAGAGTTCAGAGTGACCTATACTCATTATAGCCATTTCTGTCAGGTTTACTGGAGATTTGTTTTATACCTTTGGTTGTGTTGGATTTTCTTGGTTCTTCACCTTCCTTGAAGAGTTGTTTTGTTGTCTATTCAGGTACCTCTCCTACTCCTCACCAACTGATTTTGAATGGGAGATACTTTTACTGATTAGCAGTGCTTGATATTAGCCACTTGTAAGGCTAGGAGCAAGGCCCACTTTGCTTCCTCCCTACCATCCTGGAGGAAAAGAATCTGTTGTCTGTTTTTCCTCAGTCATACAAAACAAAACAAAGCAAAGCAAACTGCTGGGTATAAAAGAATGTCCTCCCCTTTTCTCTGTTTCTTACTGTTGCAGGGACCAAGCTCTTTGAATCATTCAGCACAAAATATGGGGTGAGATGGAAACCAGCTCCAGAGAAGGCACTCTGAGAGGCTATGTGGCTAGGCATACACTCAGATCTCCCCATCACAGATGGAGGGTGTCTTCTTGGTGCTGACCAAGGCCTGTCTGGGGGAGGGACTGATGTGAATAAATTGAAATTGCTCCTCTTACCTATATAAATGTTAACTGCTTCTCGGTTTGTGCTTTACTACTTAGCTCCTACTTCTTAGCTGGATTCTGAATTTCTTTTCAGAAATTTGGCATTTACAAGGTATTGTTACATCACTGTTTCTGTGAAGGGATGATGTGTAAGGCTTACTACGCTGCACCTTGCTGACATAACCATTCATTCCACTGCCTTTTGCCCACATGATTTCAAGGGAGAGATCAACTGTTAATATTATTGAGCACCCCTTATACTGGAACGATTGCTTCTCTCCTGCTGCTTTCAAGATTTTCTCCTTGTCCTTTCTTTTAGCTGCTTAGTTATAATGCACCTTGGTATGGATCTCTTGGAGTTTATCCTTTTTATTTATTTTTTTATTTTTTAAAGATTTCCTTTATTTGTTGGAGAAAGAATAAGCAGGGGGGAGCAGCAGGTAGAGGGAGAAGCAGGCTCCCTGCTGAACAAGGAGATGATGTGAGACTCAATCCCAGGACCCTATGATCATGACCTGAGCCAAAGGTAGATGCTTAACCAACGGAGCCACCCAGGCATCCCCGTGTTTACCCTTTTTAGAATTCATTCTGCTTCTTGGATGTGTAATGTAATCTTTCTTCAAAGTTAAGAAGAACTCCTCTTATTTCTTCAAATACTCTTTCTGCTCCTTTCTGTGCTCCTTCTGGGATTCCCATAATGCAAATGTTAGTCTGATTGAGAGTCCCCTGCTCAGTTCATCACTTCCATTTCTTTTCTTTCTGCTCCTCAGACCGGATAAGTTTAATTGTTCTATTTTCAAATTTGTGGATTCTGCCTTCTGCCTACTTAATTTGCTCTGTAACCTCTCTACTGAATTCTTTATTTTAGCTATTTTACTTTTTAGCTCTCACGTTCTGTTTGGTTCCTTTTTTAACAAAATATTTTTTATTTGTTTACTAATAGTGTCTGTTTGTTTATACATAATTCTCCTAGTCTTCCTAAGCTTTTTGTCTATCGTTTCCCTTTGCTCTTTAAGCATATTAAAAGATGTAAATCTTTGTCTAGTAAGTTTAACATTTGGGTTTCCTCAAAATGGTTTTGCCAATTTCTTTTTTTCCCTGGGAATGGCCCATAATTTTCTGTTTGTTTTGTTTGCTTTTGTCAGTCTGCTGTCCCTTGTTCCAGAAGGCTATGTGTAGTAGACATCTTTAAAGTTTTTGATCGACACCAGGCTGGGGATTTGCTCCTATCTGAAAGAAATCTCCAAGCAAGGGCACCAGGGGTGGGAGGGAGCAGTCAGTAAGACATTTGACTCTTGGTTTCTGCTTGGGTTGTGATCTTGGGGTCATGTAATCAAGTGACACATCAGGCTCTATGCTCAGCACGAAGTCTGCTTAAGACTCCCTCTCAGTCTCCCTCTCTCCCTCCCTGTTCTCTCTCTAAAATAAATAAATCTTGAAAAAAAATGAAAATAAAAAAGAAAGAAAGGAAGGAAGGAAGGAAATCTCCAGACAGGGCAAAATGCATAGCCACAATGATTTGAGAACAAAGTAAGTATTATACTCAATAGTTCCAGCAAGGTGCCCCCTAGAACTCAGGGCTTCATCTCCCTAGCTTCTGCTCTATTGGAGAATGGGAGATGGCAAGTGTGTAAGCAAAAATACAATACTTCCTTACTGAAATTTAACAGCCTTTTTCTTTTTTTCATTAAGTACTGTCTTGGGTGCTGTAAGTTTTTTTTAATTAGATTTCATATATCCAAAGATGTTGATTCTGTAAGTTTTGCTAGCTTAATTGCTATTCCGGTGGAGGGACTGATTATTTGAGCTTTCTACTCTGCCATTTTCTATGACATTACTCTGACATCTATAATTACATCTTTAGGGAATATCTATTGACCACTCTGGTCTAGAATAAAATTAATATGATTCCTCTTAATTCTATATATTCCTCCTCTCCCCTACCATACATTTTTGGGGTACCAATGTTATATTTCTAAATGTTATGTATGTACTATTAAAATATTTATGTTTCTATCCATTGAGGTCAACTTTAATACACAGCCCTGGAGCCCCAGGTATTACAAATGAGGCAGTTGAATGAATTTACTACCAATATTTTTCCTCCTCTACTTCTCTCAACATGGAAATTTCCTGGACTGTGAGTTTGCCGGAGACTTCTGTGTGCATATGAGGGCTTCTTCACCATTAGGGAGTTGATTCTTGCTGGTTCTTTGTAAGTTGACCAATGCCAGGACCTGTCACTGTTTTCTGGCTGCCCCCCTCCCCTTCCACACCCAGCCCCAGTGTGAGCCCCTGACTTTTGGCAACCTGTCCAGCTACTCGGGAGAGCATGCATCTGTCTGCTGCTTTCACATGACCCAATAGGAGGTAAAAAAAGACAGATGTTATTTCCACAATCGTGTTGATAGCAGAAGTCTCTTGTTTGTTTCTGTCTTGCCATCTAATTATTTCATATAGGCAATGATGAACTTTACTTTCAATGTCCCAGTAGAATTTTAACACTTGATGACTCCCTTCTTGAAATACATGCTGCCCTTGGTTTATTTCTCTAATCATTTCCTTACCCTTTGGGACATTCCTTTTTAAATTTCTTTGCAAACTACTCTTAAATGTATTTCCTCAATATAGATGTCCTTCAGTCCTCCAATACAATCTTATTCTCTTTTCATTCTTCTTTTTCCTTTGGCGCTTTTCAGTGCTCCTATGTCGTCACTTAGCATGTATGTGCTGATGGTTTAAACGTAGATCTTTAGCCCAAACCACTTAGCTCCAAGCCCATATATACTCTGTCTTTTTAACATCTCTTCCTTCAACTTGGTGACATCTCAGCCTTGACCGTAGGACTTGTCCCCACATTTCCTCCTCTAGCAATCCTATTCCAGTGAGTGTGACAACTGTGTCCTCAGTTGTTTCAGGCAGAATTTTGGGTGTCATTCTTGTCTGTTCCCTCTGACTCAGTACATTAATCTCAAAACTCTGTCAGTTATTCCCCATGAACATACCCTGAATTAATCTATTCCCCTAAATTTCCATCTTCCCATCCTGGTACAGACCTCCATCATCTCTCCCCTTGGCTGGCTTCCCTGGCCCCCATTTTGTACCTTTTCTTGTCTGGTAACCACAGTGATTACAGCCCAACCAGGGCCTCCAATGGCCCTTCATATAAGTCAGCCTCCATGGCCCTGCCTGGCTGCTTGTGCTCTCTCCTGATTCCCCTGTTCTGTCCCAGCTACAGAATCACACCTGTCATAACTGTGGGTTTCCAGGCCAAAAAGCACTCTTTTATATTAAAAAAATTACTACTTCTTGAATTGGTTGACATAATCTGCCTTCTAAGAAAGTATTGTCATTATCTTATCCCCTAAAACTATTTTCAGCAGCTGTATGATACCAAGATTAAAAAATCAGAAAGGTAGCCAAATAGGATAGCTGTGATTGACAGCTGCTCTCTGTAGTGTTTTTTCAGTTACTGTGGGAGGTAACACCAGAAGTGTGGATGTTTGCAAGGAAATCTGTTCATAAAGTAAAATTAAAAAAAAAAAACAAGTATTCATGAAATGCATCTGATTTTTCTTTTTTTTTTGGTTCAAGATTTAATTGGGCATTTTTTTTATTTCTTAAAATTTATATTCAATTAGCCAACATATAGTACCTCATCTGTTTTGATGTAGTATTCAATGATTCATTGATTGCACATAACACCCAGTGCTCATCATATTTCTATAAAATGTTATCAATCTAAAATTTATGTTTTCATGTAAGTCAGATCACGAAAGACGTACTCTTCTTAAGAGCAGATGCTTTCAAATATGATATAAATTATTTTCACATGTTAATACTGGCATTCTGTTGATTTCATTTCAGTATTATTGTACACATCAATTTTAAGTTTTCAGGGACATTTAAATACCCCAACTATTTACAGCTCTGTGGAGCTGGGAGGTTCAGGCTTTATACACCACAGCACATCTGTGTTTAGCTGTGGACTAATGGAGATAAAGAGAAGCAGTAACTCTTGGAGTTTACTTACAAATTCTCAAATGTTTATTGGTGGTGATGCATTCTGGTTTAGAAAAGCATCCTCTGGAATGGGTTCTTCATGCATATTTTCTTGTCAGCCTTTATCCTAGTCTAGTTAGTGTGCTAAAAGTCTTGGTAAATTTTAAGATGTAGAAATGTTATAATATTTATGCTTAAGTTATAATCACTTTAGCTCTTAATGTATTGTTTCATCTGTTTTCTTAAAGGATCTGAGACTCACTCCGCATGTATTCCCCAGGTGCAGACCCCGGTCAGGGCTGTGTTCTTGGCATTTGGTTTCACGCAGCGTAGTCCACGGGTGTGCATGTGGGTGTATGTGTGTGTGCACTGTGTGTGTGCAAGGAACAGAAATACAGACAGTACATAAAAACCAGAGACCACGGACTGTCTCTTGTAAGAATATTTCCAGCAAGGTAGGATGAAATGCCAAAAGAAAATGTCAAGAGAACGTAAGAATGTACCTAATAACTACTTCTTTTGCTTTCTATTCTGACAATGTGGTAGTGAAAGTTGGCACGAACTGGCTCACTGATTTTGTAGATGTAAAGGAAAGCCTTTCCTAAAGAAACAGGAAATCAGTTTAAAGTACTGAAAAAAAAAAATGTGCGGCCAAGAAATATCTCCGGCCAGGATATAAGCAAGCGGGTTTGGAAAGGAGCCTTTCCCTTCACCTCCTGAGTATGTCCTACGTCTGTGGTAGCTTCCATCTCGCACAGTTCCAGCAACCAGCTCATGAAACCCTTTCAGAAATAAATGAGTACATAATATAATGCTTTTAAAATGCAACGGGATGCTTGTGGGCAACTGTATAGCACACCACCATTTTGAGTTAGTTTATGTCTAAAGTTGTCGTTAATTCAGTGACTCTTGGCTGCCTGTCCCCTAGAGGCATCATCTCAGCCCCCAGAAGGCAGCAGGGAGCTGACTTACATGGCCCCGAAGTCAGAGAGGTACCAGTCTCAGGCATGTGCTGTTTCGGAGGGAGAAAATGTGCTCACTGGTCAGAGCATCCGACCGGTGTTCTCAGGACCACGGGAGGCCCCTTTCGTCATCGGCTGCACCTCACAGCAGTAACAACATGAGAATTCATTTTCCCATGCTTTGGGCAGCCTGTGTTTAAAAATGCCGTGAGCACAGGATCTCACTTACACCAACGGAAAACGGTGGTATTGTCATCTTCCCACTGCCTTGCTGTTGTGTCAAAACGGGATGACAAGTTTGCCTCTGCGACGTGTCACTGAGAAGACCTTTCCTCCAGAGTCTGTCCCCTGCCAGTGGGGCACCGGAGGGCTTCCATCCAAGTCCAGTTTCCTCACGGGCCTTCCTGGGAACAGCAGAGCTGGGTGACCAGGCCTGCCGAGCACTGGGGGCCCTCCTCGTTCCCCATGGGAAACAGAGGCACGTCCTGTGAGCACACAAGAGGAGGGACGAGACCACCTGTGTCCACAGGCGTCTGTGGCTCCTTTTGTGGTCTCCCTCACAGCCGCCTGTCTTCCACCTGTAGGCCATGCCGACGTGGAGGGCTGTGGGAGGGAACGGATCTCAGATTCGCAGTGTCCTTTGCTTTGTGTGATCACCTCGGGCTCTTTACTTCTCTGAAGTGTTGAGAAAATATGGGGTTTTTGTTTTATTCTCTTCCCTCCTGAATCCTATTTGGAAAAAGCTCAGACATGATGGGTTTGGGGGAGCTAGCTGAGGCAGGGACGCTCACTCAACAGTTCCTACCATGCCACCCCCTGACAAAAATCCACAGGAAAGTTGTTCTTGAAACTCAACCTAGGACAAGTTGTTCTTCCCAGAGCTTCTGGCATATCGTCTTGTGGACCCTGAGTTTTATTATTTCCCTTTTTGCTGTGGCCGAGGTGAAGCCTGGGGACATGCGTTGTCCAGCATTACCTATTATAAGGAACATTTTAGATTGTTTTAGACCACAGTTTCATTTCACTGTTTTCTCTCCTTATATTACCACTTCCCTAATCTTCTTTTCACTTGTTTTATGCCATTTTGTTTATGCCCCCCACATTCTTAACCTAGCCTCAGTTTTACCCTTTACTCTGGTATTTTTACACAATGGTGAGAAATCCAGGAAATATTTAATGCTGTGAATTCACAGGAGAGGGTGTTTGTCCCTGAGCATGGTATTCCCACGCCAGAGTGGGTCCCCTCCTGTCCACCCATTTCTGTAGCCGCTGGCGGCTCTATGCCCCCTTCCCTGGACTCTTGTCCTTGCGGATCCCCCCCCAACCCCATGAAATCTGAGGGCTCACAGAGGAGAACATGTGTGCTGACCTGGAAGCACTTCAACTTGGATATCGCAGAGGACTATCGCCGAGTTCCTTGACCATGTCCTCGTAGAGGCTGTGTCTTGGGCCCTTCCATCGCTGCCCCTAAGCCCAGTTTGGTGTCTGGTGGGAGGGGCCTCTTTTCCTTCTTCCCCCATGCCCCTCGCTAAAGTTTCCCATCCTAACTCCGTCCTCTCCGGGAACCAAAGGAAAACCAGAAAACCTCTGTGAGTGTGTCATTCAGAGACATTTGGTCCGTTTGGTCCCATCCAGACCAGGCTTTCTGGTGAACGTCGCTGAAATACACAAGATTTGAAGAAAACACAGACTTTGCTTAAGATGTGCTGGCCCTCGGGTCCCCACATACTGAGGTGCAGGAGGTCGTGTGCCCAAAACCACTGGTGAAACACCAGGGGAATGTCCTGATGGTCTCCTTTGTCTCTTTTTTAAAAGACAAATTTCTCCTCTAAGTTTCAGACTCAGGTTTAGCGGCCGAGCAGACGTGAAAAACTGCTCTTCTCACCAGTGTTCTGTCTTCATCACAGGCGCTTACACGTTCGTTCCGTGGCTGCTGAGCTTTAAAAGAGGAAGAGCCCTGGAGGAGAAGGAAAACAAAATCCTGGTGAAGGAAACCGGTTACTTCTTTATATATGGTCAGGTAGGTTCCCTGCCCCCTGCTGCCTCCGCCCGTGTCTCCTGCTCTGCTCGCTTCTGACCCGTGTCTCTGGTTTATTCCTCAGGTTTTATACACTGATAGCACCTTTGCCATGGGACACCTAATACAGAGGAAGAAAGTCCATGTCTTTGGGGATGAATTGAGTCTGGTGACTTTGTTCCGATGTATTCAAAATATGCCTGAAACACTACCCAATAATTCCTGTTATTCGGCCGGTAAATAACAATTCTGTGTAAATAGAAGGACGGTTCTCGGTATGTTGTGTGGCATTTGTTCTCTGGAAGGATAAGCTAGCTCCTTTGAGTCGAAACGGATACAATCATTAGTAATCGTTTTATTGTTCTTCTGCACATGGAGAAGGGGCTGTAACGTGCTGGCGATCAGCACGGAGAGCAGTTCCAAACTGCATTTCCTTCGGTAGATAGCGCTGCCTAAGAACCCAGGGAATGATTACCATGTACCAGGCATCCTTGTCTTATACTGACCTGGGCTCCTTCGTCCGACCACCGCCCCCCACCACCCCCATTTAAGGGAGGCGGCATCTGAGACACAGAGAGGTAGCTGATGCTGTCCCAGAGGGCACAGCTTCCAAGTTCCAGAACCTGGATGAAACCAACAGGTCTGACCCCAGAGTAGGAGCCCCCAAAGCTTTTTTTGTTTGTGTTTTTGTTTTATGTGCTGCTGAAGACATGTCCTTGACGGAATCAAGGGTCCGGTCAGGCTGCCTGGTGGCTTTCTCTCCCTCTCCCTCTCCTTCAGGTGACATGTGCTGCACACGGACCAGACGGGTGACTTCGGGATGGGAGCTTGTAGGAGTGAGGCTCCTTCGGCTCGGGGCAGTGACGATGTGGAGAGAAAGGAAAGGGAAAGGGAGGACTTTGTTCCCATCTGGTCTTCGGGCTATTCTTGCAATAGAGTCTTCATTTTATTTTGGGGGTAAATTCATCAAAGCTGGTATGAGGGGAGAAAAAAAAACATACTAGCCTTGAAACACATTTATTCCTCTCTGGTGATTTGACACATCCACTGATGTGTAACTGGTTTAGCAGTCCGCTGGTGTCATTTAACCCTGAGGCACGTCTTCAGTTCCGTACAGTTCCCTGAAACACAGGCCCGAGGCCTGGCTGCCTCCTCTGAAGTCCTAAGTTTCAGAGGCGTTTGCTACCAAGTGCACGGTCACTCTTCAGGAAGGAAGGGAAACTGGGGGGGCTGTCCTTGTGGACCCGCAGCCATGAACAGCTGTAAGGGGATGATGAGGAAGTGTGTTGAATTCAAACTCCCTAGTTTTCATAAAGAGATGTTCCCCTGCGCCCAGCGATGACCAGCATCCTGGCGTTGCAGAAAACCCACAGAAAGGCGCGGCCGCCCCGTCTGGACTGATTCCAGGCACAGCGGTACTCAACACGGGCTGTGTCTGGTCATTGCCCTTCCGTGCTCCTGCCCTCTGCCATGCTTCCCTGGGGCCTCACCTTTGAAGACTATTTTATTGGACCTTTGGGCTGTGCCCCAGTGCCAGAGCTTAGGTTAGGTATGAGAACTGTTCTCCAGGACATTCCGGGTTGCAGTTCTCATCTGTTCTAGGACCAGTCTGCTTCAGACCAGTTAGTATAGAAGAGCCTGCCATGCTCCCATACATCATAACCTGGGAAAAAAAAGCAAATGGTCCCTTTGAAGAGCCCAGCTAACACCAAACACGGGTCTTACGCACAGCTGGATCTCGCTGTTTCCCTCTCAAATCGAGTGTCTGTCGTAGAAGTTACAGCTCAGCTGCTGCGATCTGGAAGGACTGAAAGAGCGAATAACTCAGAGTTAGAGTTTCAGACAGAACCTTCTTGAAAACTGTCAGTGCACACGGCCTTTACTTTGAGTTAGTATTACTTAATGCTCCGTGATCGACAGCCTTTGTCAAAATACTAGATTCTCTTCAGTCTCTATGATAACAACTGATCTATTCAACAAATAAATTCCAGCTTTTTTTTTTTTTACTGTTTCATGTAGTCATCAAATGCTTTGCTAATCCTAAAAAGTGTGCATATTACCCTTCGCAATACCTGAAACTATGTTCTTTTGTTTGTTGTCTGTCATAGTCCATGACAAAAAAACAAGATCCTTGGAGACAGAATCTTTTGTCATTCTGATCACAGCCCTGTGCGTGTCTAGAAAGCTGTCTGGTACATCGTAAGTTTCAATAAGTAAACACTGACTGGCTGTTGCCTGAGGAGATCTGGGTGCTTTAGGCCTGATGGATGTTAACATACATAACGTCGTTCGTGTAAACACATTTTCAGGGCATCTTCGTGAAAATACAACTGCTTTTTTAGATTGTTGGTTGAAAATAAGAACAACTTCAATAGTAATTTGTTTGTTACTTTCTTTGTTTCTTCTCCCCGGATCATCCTTTCTTCTCCGTCATCTTTGTCTTTTAAAACGGGTCCCCACGGATGTACCGAGGGTAGTTCCTGAATTGTATTCCGTGTTCCTGAATCACAGAACACATCCTTGTAAAATAGGCACATACAGATTTATTAGTTAGTTTTGAGAAGCTAAGTATTTTATTGCTTTTGATTATGAGGACAAATATGGTCATTTAAGGGAATGTGGAAACATAGAAGACTGTCAAAAATAATTCAAATGTCTCCTAACCCCATGGTCTGGACTCCAGAGAAAATCTATGTTAATGGATGGGCTTTGCTGATAAGTGGTGTTTTGTTTTTTTTTTCTTCCTAGTAATATACACATTTTATATGCACATTCAGTGTATATTTATGTGATATCTATGCAGTTTATACATCTGCATAGTGTGTGTGTACTTTGTGTATTCTATTTTGTATTTTTATTTAACATCGTTATTTTTTGTATTTCTATTTTGTTTTTATTTAACATCATTATTTTTTAACACTGTTATAAACATTTCTGTCAATAAAATGAAGCAAAACCACTTTTAACCACACAATATCCCAACGAGGGATGTGCTATGATTTAACTTTTTTTCTTCTTCAAATAAAACATTGGTTTCTGTTCAGAGTCTCCATCTTATAGACAGTAGGTGAGAAATACATTCATTTATATCTGCTGTCTTTCTGCTCATTTGCTTAGTTAGTTTGTTTGTTTTTAATTTGGTCTTAGGCCGGTAGAATTGTAACGGGTTTAGCAGTCCGCTGGTGTCCCGTGAAGTGTGAATGCCTATGTTAACATTTTCCCAAAATAACATCGTTTTATTTAGTGCACCCCCCACCCTGCCTCCCGCGCTGTACAACCACTCAACGTCCCTGTAAATCACTGTTTTCCAGGCATCGCGAAGCTGGAAGAGGGAGACGAGCTCCAGCTTGCAATACCACGGGAGGACGCGAAGATATCGCGAGATGGGGACGGCACGTTTTTTGGTGCGTTGAAGCTTCTGTGACCTACTTACACCTGCGCTGTGGCTGGATTCCTTCCTTCCTCTGTACCTCTAAGGAGAAGACACTTAACTGGAAATACCCAAAGGAAGAAAAACAGTAGTTAACTCGCCTTTTCTGGGAGCTACTTATTTTGATTCACTGAAACTAGACCAAAACAGGAAATTTAACAGACAACCACAGCCAAAGGGTGTCATGTGAATTACAAGAAACAGGGCCCCTTTAGGGAAAGAAAGAAAGTAGGCTTCTCGCTGCAATGCCATGTTGAACGACGTTGTCGTGGCTTCTTGACATGGAGGGAGCACAGGTTGCCAGGGGGCAATCGTCATTTCTTCCAAAATGACATTCCATCATGTCTGCGGGACATTAGGACATTCTTGGGAAATCTCAGCATCCAGCCAGAATCTTTACGTTAAATATGCCCCTCTCCTTTTGCAGTTAACATGGTGAGAAGTATTTTTTAAAGAAAGAAAGAAAGAAAGAAAGAAAAGAAAGAAAGAAAGAAAAGAAAAAGAAATCTTGCATTTGACATATGAAAAAGTAATTAAAAGCTTACACTGAAATATATTAAGCACTTGGACTTAAAATGCAGGTACTATTTAAATTCTTCCAGTTTACTTCAAGTCTGCCATTTTTATCTGTAATATTATATCACCTGGTGGACCACCAGACATTTTTTCACAGGAGGGAAGTCATTCTCTCTGGTGTCTACACTTAACATGCATTTTTTTTTTTCCTAGGTAATTTCAGTCACTTCAGAAACTTTACTGTGGGGTAATTCCAGTTCTTACATATGCGAGCATAGAGTGAAAAAATAGCTATAATTGTTCTTATGTAAAAATCAAATCTCCAATGGAAGTTAATGAATACCTTTATAATAATGGAATCTATTTGCCCTTTATTTCCTAATCTTCTGTTTTAAACTGCTGCTATTTATCCCAGCCTTTAAAACACACTCATGTTATTAGCTTTACGGAAGTTGAGCTGTCGTTAAAGTTCTTGGCGTCTGCAAAGGTGTTCGGTGCCTGGTGCTTGTTACATGGCTCTGGATACACCAGAAACATCACCCTTCTTTCCACCTAATAGAGAATCGTATTCACAAATGCTGTCACAACTGTCTTTATGACATCAATCTCCCTTGTTCTGCTTGTCTTTTTACAAAAAAGAATTTACTTCATTAAACAATTTCCTTCACCAGTTTAAACGGTAGGTAATAAAAATAGACCCAGGTCTAGATTCATTTTCTCCAGTCCACATTAGAATGTGTTTAAGAATATGCTCTTCCAAACAAAACAAAAGACAATTTGTACTTTGTGTCTAAGATGTCTAAGATGAAACGTTGTTTAAAACTCTGATTACCACAATTGTGGATCTTTTTGTTAAAATCAAATATATTTTCAAACTTGCTGTGTTACAATATTATAGTTAAAAAGTACAGGGAAAGCAGAAGCTCTGATCTAGGAGGTGAGTCATTGTCCTCATGTTGCTGCTAACTTGAATTGCAGAAGAGAAAATCTCAGTGCCTTCTGCCTGGCTTTTTGATGGAGTTTGCTTAACACCACTCATCTTTTCGTTTCTCTCCATGTAACTAAATGACGTTTTAAAAATTCAGTGCTGAGGTGTCTGGGTAGCACAGCGGTTGAGCCTCCGATTCTTTGTTTCAGCTCAGGTCACGATCTCAAGGTCATGGGATAGAGCCCCACATCAGGCTCCACACTCAGCGGGGAGTGTGCTTAAGTTTCTCCCTCTGCCCCTGCCCTTCCCCCTTCCCCTGCTGCGTGCACCTACACACACTCTCTCTCAAATAAACAAATAAATCTTTAAAAATAAATAAATAAATAAAATGCAGTGCATACCATAAAACATTATTATGTAATAGGCGTTAGGGTAGGAAACAAAGCATTTGAGATCATGCATAGCTTATATATTTCAAAAAGGATTTGTTCACATCAGTACTATAGATAGATATAAAAGAAGCAATTCTTGGAGCATCTGGGTAAAGAAGGTAGTGCTCTGGTTCAGCAGGCTTTCCCGTTAAGCCACTGTGCTCTACCTGGGTCTCCCGTGTTCCTCTTCAATGATTTAGCGCAGTCTGTGGGCAGATGATGCCTTCTGCCTCATAAAGTATCCTTAACTTTTAATTTGCTTTGAGTTTAAACCAGCATTGAAATGCAAACCCTGTTTTCCTCATGTGTGAAACTGTGAGGGAAGTCAGAGTGTAAGAGTTCATTTAGCAATGAGGAAACAGGACAAAGAGGAGGTAGTCCCATAGTGGGGAGAGTGGAAGGCGGGGTCTGCCCAGCAGCACTGGGTCCAGCATCTCCCTTTCCCTAGCTTTCTCCCAATTTACTTTAGGAAAAATGATGTCATAGTGAGATTTCCTATAACAGAACGTTTCTAAGGTTCACTGTATGGACCCAGACCCCAGACGGTTGTCTTATAAGCGAACTCAGAAAGGATGCTGGGAACTAAGTACTTGAGTGTTGACTTGCTCACCTGTGTGGGACAGAGGGACAAGCCAGCAAGCCCCCACGAAGTGACGGGAGCCCCACCTGGGCCCTGGAGAGACTGATGCTCCCTCTCAGCTGGGGTGCAGAGAAGGGATTGGTTTGGGGGACAGCAGCAGACTGTCAGAACTTACGGGATCCTATTGTAACTTGAGCTATGAATCAGGCTTGCTGTCCTGGGACTGAGGTTGTAACCCGTGAACGACGCACCAACACAGGCAGCTGATGCGTTTGCTTTGGCTTCTGATTTGCTAATATAAAAATCTAGATTTGTTTCATGAAAACAGGACATTTAAACTTTCTATGAATATTCTCCAAAAATATTTGGGGAAACCTATGTACACATTTCTGTTGGACTGACACCTAGAAGTCAAATAGTTGTGACAGAGGATGTGCCTACATTCAGCTTCAGTAAATACTACCAGAGAGATCTCTGAATGGTAAACAGTTAACGGAAAATTGCACCAAACCAGGCTGTTGGAGGCAACAACCCACTGGGCTAGTTTCTGGCAGTCCGCTGCAGCCATGTAGGCGAGCACTGGACTGCAGACCCCACAGGACTCTCTTTGTCCACCTGTTCTGTGCCTGGCCCCACACCAGGATGCTGGCAATTATCAAATAAATACATTTTACTGCTGATTACCTTTGGGCATATTTGCTTTCACAAATCAGTTCTGTAACTTTGTATGCATTGGGCTAAATTTTACAAACTAATCGTTGGTTAAAAGGAAGTGGCCCAAGGTCCCCAGTCTTGCTGATATCAGGGCAGCTGCTCCTTTGGGGTTCCTCATCTTCCATGGGTGAAGCACGGGAGTGAGGGGTCCCGTAGGGAGGTCAGCGATGCCACACCTGGGGGCTGTCCCTGCTCAGCTGTGGCCAGACCAACTTTTTAGGTTTGGTTTGAGGTCCTCACCATCACCACTGTCCTTATTCAAGTAAACTAAGTCTTCGGTTATTTAAAAATTAGTGCAATGAAATTATGTTTTAGATCATTATTAAGATTATTAAAAATAAAGACAATCAAATAAAATCATATATGCATATTAATAATGTAGCACAAGTATGGATTTCTTGCTTATATAGACTTATTTTACAATTTTATGTTGGTATAATCCTTACCAATACTTAGGGTGATATATTTAGAAGGTAGGATACCTTCTCTGCTCATGTAATTTCATGCATGTGGAAAGATGTGGGACAATTGTTATTTATTTTGTTATTTTATCTTTTTTTTAACGTCTTGCTGCAGTCACACACTGTATTTAAAACTAATCACAAAGATGGGAACTAATGGGCTTTCAGGAAGGAGAGGGGAGCTGTGTCTGATGCAGAAATGGTTGATATGATGTTGTGATATTGAACTGTTCATTGAGACCACCCAAGGGCTAGTTAACTTGTCATTTTAGAGGAATAAAGAAAGGAGAACTACAGAGCAAAGACAGTGATACACCTGGTATGCAAGAACAATTTCAGTGCCACTTTATCGCTCTACATAAAACTAGCAATAATTTTTTTCACAAATGCACATATGCACACACACACCATCACACACACTGCAACACAAGCATGTGTGCGCACACACACACACACACACACACACACTAGAAAGCAGCTCTTCTAGAGCACTCTGGAGGCTCCTAATCTTGGTTTAATCCTCTGCTGCTCCGTCTTGAGATTTGTAATAACTTTTGAGCGAAGGGTCTTGCATTTTTGTTTTGCCCTGGGCTCTGCAGATTAGGGAGTGGTCCCGCTTGAAGCTCTTGGAGAGAAGGACAGGATGGCAAGTAAGGGCATGTCTCTAAGGCTGTGCCCTGGAGTTCAAGGCCCTGGCAGGCTGTTTGTTCACTGGTTGTATCCTTTAGGATCTGGGGATAGCAGTACTGCTGAACCCCCCAGCGGCCGGGAGAAACAGATGAACACGTGAAAACACCTAGCAGGGCACCTGGCACCTTACACGTGCTAAATGTCGTTGCTTGAAAGATACACACACACACACACACACACACACACACAGAAGGGAAGGATTGCAAATGGAATTCGAAAGAAGTAAAGAGATGTGCACTGTTTGGCTTTATTTTAGCAAAAGATCCAAAAGCTCAATCTGGTTTTGTTGTTTGGTTTTAAGAGATCTTGAATAGACCAAAAATAAAAAGAGAAGAAAGAAAGGAGAACCAGAAAGCACCTACCCGCCCCCCTCCCCCCCCCACCCGACCTCGGGCTGGGGAATGCCACTGTCTATCCTCCTTCAGTCCCAGGACACCTGCCTCTACTTTACAGAGCCCTGAGACAGAAAGCAGCTCTGACTACATCCTGCCCTGAAGGCTAAGTATTTCCAGGATTTACAGGACGGGTGGGGCAAGAGTGTCAGTGTAGGAGCCAAGGCTTTCCTAAATTTAACCCCATTGGAGTCAAAGAACCAGGATCCCGGGATCAGGTGGGAGTGGCTAGAAAACGTCGTGGGGGAGGGGGGTGTTGAGGAGAAAGAAAACGCCCGCAGGAAAGAGACTGCCGGGCTCTGGGGATGCCCATCCCAGTCCCACTTGGAGGTGTGAGCAGGGACAAAGGACTCTGGGACTCAAGGGACAAGGGACTCTGCCCGTACCCCCCAGCCTCGCCCCCCACAGGGTTCCCTCCAAATGCTGAGAAACAGCTGACCCTCCTAGCTGGTCTCGCCAGGGAGGGCGCGACCTGTGGGGCCCGCGGGCACCCACTGGGGCAGGCGAACACTCAGTGCGAGCGGGAGTTATGCGGACATGAAAATAGCCGCATTGGATCTGCCTTTCAGACACGTCAGCTGCTTCCTACATGGCGCTCTGACTCCCTTGGAAGTTAAGAGGAACTGATTACTTGTCAAGTAACCTCCGAGCCGGCAGGGCTGTAACCTCCCAGCGGGTAGGGACCTCCCAGCGGGTAGGGCTGTAACCTCCGAGCCGGCAGGGCTGTAACCTCCGAGCCGGCAGGGCTGCCCAACGGGAGTCCAAAAACCGCAGCG